GGGGTTATTCTGCTTCATTTTAATTTAAGTAATGCATTTGAGCTGAAGAAGAGAAATCCATACAGCAGGGGTGCTTCCTGCTTTTACTCATGCAGGCTGACTATTTGGGATTAATCAAAGGGGAAAGTTCTGGCGCAGCTTCACCCACTGCCAAGATGCAAATATGAAAAATAAACTGAAAGGCCAAAAATCCAGGAACACCTGCAGTGCAGAGAGCAGCTTTATTGCAAGGCCAGTGCATTTCAGCTTGTGGCCTTCTTTATGTTCTGTTAAAAGCACATAACATAGAATAATTTAAATAGTATGGATGATGGATGAATTGTTAAAAGACCCGGTGTTTTTGCTTTTACACTGAACATCAAGGCGTTCCTATACCAAATGCTCAGATGAGTTAATTAATCTTTGTAAGATGCCAAATCAGTTCCACCTAGAAGGTTTGCCACTTTGGTTTTCTGAATGAGGTGAAAGGTCAAGAAGGAACATTCATTGTGCCAGTACTGTCAGGTTATTTGTACCTTTTTTGCCTTCTTTAGATGGACAAAGAGCTAAGTTCAACTACCAGGTCGAAACTGAGGTTCACGGGGAAGGTTCGTCTTTGTGTTGCTCGGTACAGGTATGTATACACAAGGCACAATTATTTATTCACAGTGCATCTTGTTTGATTTTGAACACTGTACACAGACAAAAAAATGCATAGCATATTATTATGTTTCTATGGTTTTAAAGACCTATAAGAGTGAGTTAGCAGATCAGATTTTATGACATATTTTAGCAGTGTGTTTTCAAAATACATGGAGCTTTGTGCAAATGTTACAAAACTCCTTAAAACAAAGTGAAACCATAAACATCCTAAGGGTGGTGGATGGTGATAATGAACAAGAGAGGTGCTGAGAAATCCTCTCCATACCCCCATACCGTAAAATAAACTGGCTGCTCGGTACAGTGTAGATAAGTCCTGTACAAATCTCTCACAGTAGACTGTGGTCTTAAAGATGATTCACTGGTTCTGTCCCTAAAGAAAATTATATGTCAGCACAAAATATAATTGGAATCTTCAGAGCACAAATATGTGAAGCAGAACCAGAGCTTTCAACCCACTCTGTCCTCAGTTCTGTCATAGTTGTAAAAAAGCAAAATAAATAACTAAAAAATATAAATAACCACATATTTTTGAAGCAACACTCAGGAAGTAGTTTTTCATTGACTTACAGTTGGAGTGTTTGACATAAAACAAACTGTTTTAGTAATTAAAAGCATTTTTTAAAGTAAAACACTGGCAGTTGAATTGTTCCTGGTTCACTGTAGTTACAACCCTTATGATGGGCCCAATGAGCATCCTGAGGCTGAGCTCCCCCTGGTGGCAGGGAAGTACCTCTATGTTTACGGGACGATGGATGAGGACGGCTTTTACGAAGGTCTGGCCTGTCTGAGTATTCTTTAATCTTTTGTCCTCCGTGTCACCACAGTACTTACTGTCTCCTTTGTGTTTCCCAGGAGAGCTGCTGGATGGACAGCGGGGGCTGGTCCCTTCCAATTTTGTGGATTTTGTCCAAGATGAAGAGGCACCCTCTGTCCAACACAGGGACACAGTGGCTAAAGAATCTGGCTACCTCAACCACAGTAGTTTGGGACCTCAGCGAGTGGGGCTCAGCACAGCAGTGGGAACAGGCATCAGCAGCCTGCTGTCTGACAGTAAACTAGACTGTCTAACCACCAGCAGCTTGGGTATGGACCTCCTGGGATCCTCCAGCAATGGGGCAGGGACCTTGGATGTCAGCATTGACGAGGTCGGTGAAGACATTGTGCCTTATCCCCGCCGCATCAACCTGATTAAACAACTGGCCAAGAGTGTGATTATTGCCTGGGATCCTCCTGTGGTCCCACCAGGCTGGGGCTCCATCAGTGGCTACAATGTCTCGGTGGATAAGGAGGTGCGCATGAGTGTCCCCTACGGGGGCAGGACAAAGACTCTCATTGAAAAGCTCAATCTGGCCACCAACACCTACCGTATCTCAGTGCAGAGCATTACAGATCGGGGCCCATCGGACGAGCTCCGGTGCACTCTGCTTGTGGGAAAGGATGTGGTAGTGGCACCTTACTATCTGCGGGTGGACAGTATTACACAGGTCTCTGCTGAGCTCTCTTGGATGCCCAGCAACAGCAACTACGGTCACACCATCTTCCTCAGTGGTGCAGAGTACGACATGGTCAGGGCGGGGGGCTATAAATACAAGTTCTTCAACCTGAAACCCATGACAGTTTACAAGGTGAAAGTTGTGGCGCAGCCACATCAGGTGCCTTGGCAGCTTCCAGTGGATCAAAGGGAGAAGAGGGAGATCTCTGTGGAGTTTTGCACTCAGCCTGCAGGTCAGCCTCAAAAACATTACTTACACCGGCACTTTTATCTGTTCAGTAAACCGCAGCAATGCAACTTATTTCTCTATGTATTGCAAGATATGTATTGTATGGTTATATAGTCGCAGGGATAATTGTAGCCACACTTGCATACTTCTAGGGATGGCAATGGCTGTTGGTCATTGGGCTAGTTAGTGCATCACTTTGGTCCACTTTTTTGTTTAGAGCCAATTAACAAATGTTTACAAGCTATCCCATTAAAATGAGATGGTGAAGATGGTAAACATTTTATTAGCTTAAAACAACAATTTGTATTATTTTAAAGTTAAAGCTACAGTATGTAGGTTTTTTCAAATATCTTTTTTGTAGAGCAGATTGAGCGGAGCGTAGCAGATTGAGGTAGAGCATAGTGGAGCAGAGAGTGGGAGTGCTGAATTAGTTTTTCATGCTAGTGCTACTTTAAGTTACACACTGTAGCTTTAAGCTAGCACAAGGATGAGACTCTAGAATCGGTCGCCTCCAGTCCCTCCAGCCCTCCCTCTCTCTGCTCTCTTCACTCTGCACTCCACCCTGCCCGTCGTGAACTGGCCACACAAAAAATTCAGCAGGTTAGCAGACAGCATTCAACTTGTGGGCATTGAAAATAATGTAAGTCATTGAGCTGACTGCCCTTCTTCACGTCTACAGTCAAGACAGCACAGCTGTATAGCAACTTCCGCTACACAGCACCACACATTTACAGCCAGCACAGTTTGTGAACATCAGCAGAGGAATAATAGTGGGTCCTGCATGTCCACAGAAATCTTTTGTACAACCACTGCACTTCACAAAAAACAGCCCCTCAAGTTTTTATGACATATGTAGGACACATGCTGTTCAAAAATGTCTCAAGTGTGACTAATGTTACATCATTGTAAGTTAGTAATTGAAGTAAGTGCAGCAAGCGCCAAAACGGTGACTGAGACCCAGACTCCTGCAGAAACATCACCAGTTTAGTGGAGACTACAACACCTTCAGCTGATGGGCGTTAAAATAATGATTCACCAGCCACAGATTGATTCGACAGCTGCAGCAGACCATTTGATGGCTTGTTGTATGAACTTGCATGGATGTAACTGGCTGATCATTATAACTGAAAGAAGCAACACAGTGACATCCTTAGCTTAGCCAGCTGCTGTTAGTCACACTGGGAGTGCAAATGATATGATCTGGCATGATTTAGTTACAAGCACAAAGGGTATTTTGATTTGAATCATTGTTGTATACAGAAACAACTGAAGAAATTCATAGCTTACCAGTTAAGTAGTCAGAAAAAGTTGGGACAGTATGTAAAATCAAAATTAAAACAGAAAATAGTGATCTGTAAATCATCTGTGTCCTATATTACATTGAAAACATTACAGCAGCACATTATTTGATGTGATACCTCATCAACTTTAGTCTTTGTTAAAAAAAAACACACTTCAATTCTGATGCCTGCAGCACATTCCAACAAAAGTTGGGACAGTAAAGCATTTACCACCGTGTGATGTTGCCGTTCCTTTGCCATTCCACAGTGCTAACTAGCTAGTTACTAATTTTGTGTTCATGTTTGGAGCTGGCCAGGTAGCATTGGTACAGTGGGCCTAGCAGAGTCATGTTGATGAGAGGACCCAGAACCAGTATCTGAAATCTGGTCAGTTTGTGATTTTTGTGTAAGGTGTATTTATGAGGAATGGGTATCACTGTTGTCCGCTATCTGATTTCTGTTGTGATAATCTAATATTCTGTTCAGTTTCCAACTCATCTGATATTTCACAGTAAAAGCCATGTGATAATTTACATCCAGCATGGCCCGATAATTATTTATTCAGCCATACACTTAAAACCCCATTACATTTACAAACTTGACAAACATCTCAGCCGTTTTCAATTTTACTCAGACACTTTTAGGATGCCCTCAAGAATTTGTATGTATTACTGTGATAAGACATGCACGATAAGAGTGAAAGAAAAACAGCAATGAACATTGAAGATTCACTGAGAACAGGAGTCTCTTAAAGTCAAATTGGTGTAAATAGTGTGTGAAGTTCTCTGGCATTTTTTCCCCCTTGAGGCTCACTGATGCTTTGGTGTTATATGAACTTGGGTCTCACAGCCTGTCAGTCTTGCTATGGGAAATCATTTAAAGCAAGGGTGTAATAAGAGTGATTGTCTCCACAGCTAGCTAAATGTATGGATGCAGATAAAATATGGTTCAGACATTACATATTGTTGTTTTACTTAGTTAAAATAGAAAGGAGATCAAGACTCCATTGTTAAGCAGTTTAGAAAAGTACAGACAAACCGGGCATAACAGAGAGATGATATGGTCAGAGTGGTGAATAGGAAAACAAGGTGGTGATGAAGAGGAGACACAGAAGGAGTGTGTGAGGAGAACAGAGTAAATGTGGCTACGCTTTGAATTGACATTTTCTGTTGGGAGTGAACATCCTGAGAGTTCATTAAATGAGCAATCTATTGAACATGTTAATTAGAGGTGTCTGAAATTGTCTCAGATTTGGAGCCGGATAACTGTTGTCAGTGAAGAGGACAGCCTCTGGAGACACTGCATTAGACTTTGTGTTCTTCAAAAAAGTGACTTCATTATGTCTCAGGGTTATAACATTTAATTGCTGGTCACAGAGCAGTCTTCAATTCCCTGCCTGGAAATTAGTGTCTGCTGTTTGCATCCAGTACTAATGAAAGAAGCTCCACTGAAACATTCATTTAAACTCTCATTTCAGTTCTCACAGGAGCTTGTTGTTTATGATTGACAAGGTTAAAAATGAGGAGAGGAAATTAAACCTCCCAACAGCCACTGCTGCTGTTCTGAGTCTGTGTGTGTGGTCTCTTGACAGTCTGTATAGAAATTTGAATAAGATTTCACTGATGTAGATTCCCAGACACGCACAGCTACAGTACATGCTACAGCAACACTGCATAGATGGGTATGTTGTTTAGTGTTCTGACAGCGCTGGCAGATTGTGAAAATAGCAAAGTGTGTTTTTTTTGTTTTGTTTTTTTTGCTGCTCCATAGAATATTGTGATATTGCTGCTCATACCGTGGTGGTTGAATGTTGGCAAACTGGGTTTTTTCACCCAATGTAACGCTGGCGTCTGATATGCATATGAATGAATACACAGCATGAATCTGCACAGAAATGAGCATTAGTATAAGAAACCTCACAAATTATTATATTTGAGTTTAATGAATGCTCCATTCAACTGTCCCCAACATGAAGCCCACTAGCAGTTGTTTATTTAAGTGAAATTTAGATTAATTTAGAATTTAGTTTACATTACATTTTTAATACAATTCCAGGTCAAACCACGAGGTTAGGATATATACAGTACATTAGCTGTGAGAAATATAACACAGCTCCAGTAGAATGGGAATATCCTTGTTTCATACCATGGTGAGAATGCGAGACGCCCATAGTTCTGACGTCAGCGCATTCATTGTGATCAAATAGGCATATTTGGTTCAGCTACTGTTGAGTGGTCTTTTTTGTATTTCTTACCCAGCACGTATGTTGTGCTCTGCAGGGCCCCCTCTCCCTCCCCAGGAAGTACAGGTCCAGTGTGGTCAGACGCCTGGGGTCCTGCAGGTCAGATGGAAGCCGCCGCCTCTGACGCCCTCAGGAACCTCCAATGGGGCCTGTGTGATTGGCTATGCTGTGTGCACAAAGGGACAAAAGGTACCAAATGTCAGAGCAAGTGTTCTTTTTTTTTTTTTGAGTCTGGCAATATTGCTCTTAAAAAAATGATGGACTTTGGTGACTTCTGTGAGTAGTGCTTTATTGCCATCTCCTGGAGAAATTACACAGTGCTAATATCCAACCCCTAGGGACAAGCATTACTTAACACAAAAATCTAAAGACAGTTGTAACAGACTCCATGGTGCTGCTCCACTGACACTGTTTTCACAGCAGGCTATTGTTTTTGTTGTGTGTGTGCCAATCAAACATTACTGAGTCCAGTTTAATTATAAACCTAGATTGGCATACTATACAGCTCCACTTTACTGTGTTATGATGTTTTTTTGTAGGGATTGTTATTTTTTAGTACTGGAATTCAGCCAATAGATAAGAAACAACAAATACATGCAGTTATGTTTGTATTATGGTCTGGTTTCAGAGTAAGTGTTTTGCATGATGACATACTGAATTGCACTCTGACTCTCCCTGACTTTGTGAATGCAGATAGCAGAGGTCTTGTACCCCACAGCAGACTATGTGACTGTAGACTTAAACAGGATTCAGTGTCTGGAGGCCAGGGAAGTCATTGTAAGGACGTTGTCAACACAAGGAGAGTCCCAAGACTCGCCCGTGGCCATCATCCCTCACAACCTCTTGGGCTCTCCACACCTCTCCCACCGAACTACTGCACTTCCTCATGCTATGCCTCTCCCACAGTCCCATCCACTACACTCACAAACCCATCCTCCTTACCCATCAACATACCCCCCGAATCACCCTCAGCCCCAGGTGCAGCCTCTGCCTCGAGCCCAGTCCCACACACTGCCCCACGCACAGCCTCACTCGCAGCCCCTCCGCCACCCCTCTCCTCATCACCAGCCTCAGTTCCAGCGCCACCCTGTACCCAAGTCCAAACTGTTAGTAAGTGCCAGAGAGCCTGAAACCAAAGAGCATGAGGTGGGCCTGCGGCCAGCCCAGCCATGGGAGCGCTCCCCCTCTCCGCTGCCTCTTATGCATGGATCCAACCTGGAGCCACCACACTTCCAGCCACAGCGATCGCCCTCTCCTCAGAGGATCCTGCCGCAGCCTCAGGGAGTCCCCATCCCCAACACCATCGCGAAGGCCATGGCCAGGGAAGCTGCTCAGAGAGTGTTTGCTGAGGGCAGTCGGGTGGGTGGAGATTTCATTACAAAAGAGTATTCATGTCAGAGTTTTTATTATTCTAATGGGAACATCTAATAAGATGATATTTTGAGCAGTTTGTGAAAATTCTCTTGCTTTAAAAACCATTAACACAAATAATTTGTTTGAGGCGGCATGGCATGGCATGCAGTGGTTAGCGCTTTTGCCTCACAGCAAGAAGATTCCGGATTCTGTGTGGAGTTCGCACGTTCTCCCTGTGCCTGCATGGGTTCTTTCCGGGTACTTCGGCTTCTTTCCACAGTCCAAAGACATTGATTGGCAACCCTAAATTGCCCATAGGAGTGAGTGTGAGTGTGTGTGGTTGTTTGTCAGCCCTGTGATAGACCAGCGACCTGTCCAGGGTGTATCCCACCTCTCGCCCAATTTCAGCTGGGATAGGCTATAGATAATGTATGGATGGAATTTGTTTGAAGAACAATTTGTCTCTTGAAAATGATTATGCAGAGAATGGAAAATTAAAACCCAGCACATTTTTTCCATTGGGTTGAGAAAAAAATATTACATAAAGTAATATTACACTAAATTATGTAGATCTTTTTTATTTCTCTTACCAGGTTGAGAAAAGGAATATCTTTAGTGAACGAGGTGATGTGTTGCATCCGCTCAATTCTGATGAGGAGGAGGATGGCTATGACTCGCCTAATGCCAGGAGGAGAGGCGCCTCAGTGGATGAGTTCCTCAGAGGCTCAGAGTTGGGAAGACAGGTATTTTACCGAATCACAACAAGCTGTGCTCAGTCAGCAAGTGTGCATCACTTGTCTCTGAGAAGAACAGGCAGTCAGTTACAGTAGGTAGGCACAAAAGTAAGTCAAATCACTTCCCATCAAGTCATATCAAAACAAAGCACCTCTTACTATGTATTGAAACGATATTAGAAACATTAATCACCTCTTGGATCAACTACTGTAATGTACTGTTATGTTGAGATTTCTCAGGCTTCCCTGTCTCAGCTTCAGCTGGTCCAGAACACAGCTGCTCATCTTTTGACAGACACACAGAAACATAAACACATAACCCCGATTTTGGTTTCTCTTCATTGGCTTCCGGTTCATTGGCTACTTTCCAGATTTTATTATGATGGCGCTGATGTTGGAAGACCACTTCAAGTCCTGGGAAATAGTGGAGCCCAGGAACTTGTAGGACTCTACTGCTGATACAGTAGTAGTATGGTGAGGGGGGGGGGCTCTTCCTGAAGTCCACTGTCATCTCCACTGTTGTGAGCTAGAGTGAAAACAGCAGAGGGGAGACCACACATCCCTGGGGAGCACCTGTGCTTATTGTCTGGGTGCTTGCTGAGCTGAAGTCCACAAAGAGGGCCCGTGCATAGCTCCCTGGGGAGTCGAGGTGTTGCAGGATGTAATGCAGTGCCATGTTCACTGCATTGTCCGCTGACCTGTTTGCCCAGTAGGCAAACTGCAGGGGGTCTACAGTGTCCTTCAGGTGGGCCAGCACCAGTCTTTCAAAGGACTTCATAACTACAGATGTCAGGGCAACAGGTCGGTAGTTGTTCAGTCCACTGATGTGGGTCTTCTTGGGGACTGGGATGATGGTGGAGCGTTTGAAGCAGGAGGGGACTTCACACAGCTCCAGTGACCTGTTGAAAATGAGTGTGAAGATGGGAGCGTGCTTTCAGGCAGGAGGGGGTCACACCATCTGGGCCTGGTGCATTTCTGATCCTTTGTTTTTTAAAGAGGCCATGCACATCATTTTCACAGATCGTTAGAGGTGGGGGGCTGGAGGGAAGGATGGTGATTGTTGGGGGAGCAGCTGCTGGGTCTGAGGTGGGGAGGGTGAGGGGGGAATGACACTCAAGTCACTCAAGTTGGGCAAGTCACTCAACTTTTCAGAATAGCTCCTCTTTGCTGCTCTGATCTTCCTTGTCAGTGTGTTCCTTGCCTGGCTGTACAGAGTCCTGTCCCCACTTCTGTAAGCCTTCTCTTTGGCACAACAAAGCTGCTTGAGTCTGGCTGTGAACCAGGGCTTGTTGTTGTTGTTGTATGTGCAGAAGGACTTGTTGGGCATGCATACATCCTCACAAGAGCTGATATGGGATGTCACAGTGTCAGTGAGTTCGTCCAGGTCTGCAGCTGCAATCTCAAATACACTCCAGTCTGTGAAGTCAAAGCAGGCCTGTAGCTTTGACTTAGCCTCCTCAGTCCAGCTCTTCACTATTTTGACCACAGGCTTCACAACTTTAAGTTTCTGCCTATAGGTTGGAATAAGATGGACCATACACTGATCCGAGAATCCGAGGGCTGCGCATGGGACAGAGCGATAGGCGTTTTTTATTGCTGTGTAGCAGTGGTCCAGTGTGATTTTGTCCCTGGTGGGGCAGGTGACGTGCTATCTGTATTTGGGCAGTTCTTTGGTGAGATTTGCTCTGTTAAAGTCACCTAGAACAATGAGTGGGGAGTCGGGATGTTCTAGTTCTATGCTAGTTATCAGTTCAGCCAGGAGCTGTACATGTGCTTGCAGTTTTAGATGGACACCAACCAGAATGAAGCTCGAAAATTTGCGGGGAGAATAAAAAGGTTTGCAATTGTTAAAGAGTTTCTAAGTCTGTGTTACATGTCCCCTGTAGCACCGTGACATCTATGCACCAGCCTTCATTTATGTAGAGACAGATTCCACCTCCTCTCATTTTCCCAGACTGCTCCAGTACGCAATCTGCTCTGTGCACCTGGAAGCCTGTTATTTGTATTGCGCTGTCCGTGATGGAGTCACTGAGCCAAGTCTCCATGAAGCATAAGGCAGCAGAGCGTGCAAAGTCAGAGTTAGTCCTGTTGACGTTTTACAGCTTTTACATTGTTATTCACTGGGTAGATTTCTGAGATCTTCTAACCAACTGCTCTTAGAGGTGCCTAGGTCTACACTCAAACACTGTAGTGACCGGGCTACAGTGAGGTAGCACCTCCTAAATTGTGGAATAGTCTTCTGCCTGAGCTTTGGATTGGCTCAGACATGGCTGTCTTTCTCTCTCTCCTTAAATCTTATTTATTAAGCAGGTGCTTGTCACTGGCAGTGACTAGGTAATTGGTATGCCTGTTCACTTGTTATATTTTATTTGATTTTACTTAATTTTCTTTTATCTTATTGTGAAGCATATTGTAACTTTGGTTTAGAAAAGTGCTATATAAATAAACCTTTACTTAATTTCTTACTTACATTTTTTTTAGACTCTGGGATATCAATTTTTTAAAACAAATACCTTTAAGGGATAGAGAAAAAGTGTTCACCAAAATACAAAGATAAGAATAGAAGTTATTGACCTTGGCGATCTCTGCCTAACACCATCCTTCAGCTTTGTCTCTCATTTTTGCCTTAGGACCATCATCACCACTACAGCCACAGTGAGGAATACCACACAGAAAGCAGCCGAGGCTCGGACCTGTCAGACATAATGGAGGAGGACGAGGAAGATCTTTACTCTGAAATGCAACTAGAGGAGGGCCGCAGGCGTAGTATCAGCTCTCACAACACTCTTAAGGTATTTATCGCACACCTTCAGTCTGTAGTGGCCCAAGGGTGGGACAGAGGAGCATGAGAAAGACAGAGGGGTAGAGAAGGAGGGAGGAGTTACCTGCTCTCTCTCACAGTCTCGACAGTTGAACCAGGTCTACTGTGGTCTTTGCCTGGCTGATCTCCTCCTGCTTAGCCTGCTCCTCAACCTCACCCCTCCAGCACCACTTTATTTATTCACGGCTGAGCTCATGGGAATGGTTGTGTCTACGAAGCTGTTCAGCATGAAAGGGGCAAAGTCTGCAAATGCATTGCATTTTGATGCTCTTTATACTGCACTGACGGGCTGTTGGAAGTGTTTTAGAAAGTGATATTTAAGTGCAAATTGTAATGTACTCTACTGTATCAAAGGGTCATGGCATATGGGAATCTCATTTAAGTGAGTACTTAAATGGAAATAATCACTTGTGTTTACATCCATCGTGTCCTAATGTTTAGTTTTTCTCTTGTTAGATGTTAACATTGTTGGTACATGATTCTGTTTTCATTTGATGTGTGCATATAAAGCCAATCTGCCATCATGTTATGAAAGTGAGAGGTACTGTAGTGGCTGAATGGTCCTCTGTATTATATTTTAGAAGACATTATAAAATAACTGCAAATTTGTTTAGGTCCTGTTAAGCCTGTACAGTGGCAGCCATGAGGGGGATACACCAATACGTCTCCCTTTTTGTCATCGCCATCTATTTCTAAATTACTTTTACACATTATCTATCCTTATATTTCTGTAAAAAATATTAGTTTAAAAAGATGCAAATATGTATAGTAATGATATAAAACTTTAATTAGATATTAAGATTAAACATGAATTGTCACATTTTCTTATTGTTGTTTTGTGAGCATGTAAAAGTTCTGCATGTTTCATTCACTGAAACTATGACTAAAGAAATGTGATAATGCAGTGGATACTTCTAATCACTAAGCTTCATGTTCTTAGTGTTGTTAATTTTTAACACACTTTCTAGATTTATTTGTATATCTCATCCACATTTATGTTTTTACAGTATGTGTCCCTCACCCATGGCGCTAACTAAACCGGTCTCTTAATTTTTGTTTGAAAAGGTTTGAAAATTATTCACAAGCTAAATTTCCTGTTCCTCATTTAATCTCTGTGCCTGTGCCCAGTTTATCACTCCATACTGGAGCCTTCACAGATTCCTGTTCAGAGCATGCCATTTCCTCCTCATGGAATGAAACTGCATGTCTTACTACATTGCCTCAAATAACTAATTCTGTTTTTATTTTGTCTTTCCCCATTTGTTCTATTCACATACTGTGTTGTTTCCTGCCTGTTCTAAAACCTTCGAACAAACTTTTCAACCCCCCCTCACAAAAATCTAAACTTTTGCACTGAACACACTGAACTGTGAAATTGTGGAACTTTTCCTTCTGGTCATGACTGAAGGCGTATTACAAGCGTCAGGACTTAGCCGAGGAAAGAGACTGCTGGGACCTCCAGAGGGAGGTGGTGAAGCAGAGGTCGCTCCGCAGCAAACGTCTCCACAGCATCCCTGAGGTGGCTGAGGAGGAGTCAGACAGCGTGGACAGCATGGGCCAGCGCCTGTCCTTTGAAGAAGGTGGAAGGCCTGGAACCCCAGGCACACAGCGGAAGATGTATCCTCAGGACTCCCACATGCACAACCATCTCACCCCCAGCAAGACCTCCCGCCACCTGCAGCGCCAGCGCTCCTCTCCTCGTTTCACTGACAGCCGCTACTGCTACAATGCAGATGACCGCATCCTGGGATGGCCTAACCGCCAGAACACAAAAAGTCCTGATAGTGGTTTAGACTGCGGCAGTGAGGAAGAAGGCTCTTTAGGCCGGGGTCATCGAGGGTACTATGCTCATGGAAGCACCATGCGGGGTCCTGTGCGCATTATCCACTGTGAAGGCCCAGTAGAAAGGCGGGCATTGGCTATGGGCCGTAAAAGAACTCTGACCCGCCAGTGCAGCGTGGAGGAGGAGTTTGCTGATGTCCCAGTGACTCCAGCCAAGTCGGTACGCACAGGTGACTTTAGGAACAGGGAGCACTTTGGGCCTGGTCGAGAGGCGGGTCTACGAAGCTACTCCAGGGAAGTGGCCCTGAGCGAGGGCAGGCTGAACGAGCTGGACAGGGTCTATTACAGCCCCCACAGGGAGGCTAGGGCCCAGTCTTTGTCCAGGCTCAACCGGGACCGGCCGCTGGTGTGTGATTCCGACTTTCTGCTGTACTTTTCATCTGCAAGCTGCAGCCATTCTGTTTTAGTAATGTTGTCTGTTTTGCTTTATGATTACCCCCGCCCTTCATTTGGCACTTTTTTAATTTTCTGACAAGTTATCACACATTCATGGTTGGTCTGATTTGATGTTTTCCTTTGTGTGAATTACTTTGCTTGTAGAATGTCAGGTGGTTAAAGTAAAACTTTCAATTACCTAAAGGCCATTTAACTAAGTTTCGACTTCTCATGTCTGTAAGGGGAAAGGTTCCATTTAAAGTGAAATCTCTGTGCAGTGCATGGTGGTGTGCCGCTCCTGTCCATTCTTCCCCTTGCATTTCCTTCTCTCTGCCACCTGCCGGCCTCATGTTGCTCTCCATGTCTTGCTCTCCAGAGCTTTATTTCAGCATATCCTGCCTCTCATTGCTTCACATAGAAAAATACACCAAGTCTGATGCCTGCTGTGATTCATTTTAACTTTGACCCATACACATAATTTCTTGTCTTTCGCTTGTTTCAGCAAAAATATTCTCCTGATCATTATCACTAATCTTTTGATTATTGTAACAGAGCTCTAGGTTCAAGCTATGAAGGCTTTGTCCATCTGCTCACGTCTTGATCCATTCTCGATCACTCACCTTGCACTTTTACTTATTCCATTCTTATCCACTCCTTCTTCTGTTCTTTAGCTCTCATTTTTCTTTTATATTTGCTACCTTTTCTCATCAAGAAGCTGACATGCACAGAACAATACAAACCTAACAAATGGTCTTTAGCTAAACATCTGACCTTTACTAACCTCCAGTGCATGTTGTTGTATTGGGGGTTGATTTGAGTTACTTGTTTTGATGGTTTGTTAGGTTAACTTTTTGTTTTATGATTTTTTTTTCTCACTATTATTTTGCCTCTAAGGACAAATGGAAGTCATCATTTGTTCTTATGGTTTTTCAGTTGTGTTACCAGGATTATGGGATTTTTTTAAAAATGTTTTACTTCATATTACAGGTGGTTTGTTCTTCTAACCCCTTGTCTTTTTTTTTTTTACCCTAAAGATCATTGGGAACTCACCATCACATGGAAGTGCCGATCGACTGGACCACTCAGAGAGGAGGCCAGTTCACATCGGCACCCCCCCTCAGCGACGACCCATCCCATCCATTGGTTAGTGAGGTCACCACATGAGGAGACGCCTCATCCTCGCCTGCAGAGCCACTAATGTTTGTGCTATTTATACCATGTCTCCTCCTCACCCATGTGAGCCAAGCTGTACATCTTTCCTATAGATCGTTAACAACCACATATAGACTGTTTTCTGTGAGGTTTGCACCCCCTGTAGATGTCCATCTTCATGAGCTGGATTCACCAAATGTTCACATGTAGTTTTACAGGAAAGTTGTCCCAGATACACTCCCTGTGCCTGTGTTTACTGTGGGTTAACATGTTTACATGATGACCTTCAACAGTACAAGCATTGCTGTTTTACACCCAGTGACTTCAGCGTGAAACCTGTTGCCTTGTTCACACCACCCTGCCTCAGGGCAACCTCATCATCCTACTGTGTTAGCATGAGTGAATGGGGGATCTGTGACCGTAACATTGTGATTGGTGTCTTCTGTAGAGATCACCATGGACAGTAACAGTGAGGGCAGTGAAGGGAACCTCTCACCCATCAAGGAGGATGTTTATGGCAGTGTAGCTCGGCGCAGGATATGGCGATCTATGTCCTCAGAGGATCAATATGGTATGTGGTGCAGCTTCTCTCCAAGATGACTGTTCACCTTGACAGTGCCAGAAAAGGCCAAGTATGGTTTTTGAACACATGCAGTGATGTCAGTGGTCTTTGTTTTCTGGTGGACAGTTAGGTGACTTGTTTAGTTTAGCATAGCTTAGCTGAATAAAGCTGATGGGGTAAGACGAGACTGACCACTTTTCCCTTTGCTGGAAAATGAAAATCCCTCCCATTTCTACTCCTATGCTGTCAATTCCAAAAAACCCCAACCCACCAACTCTTCCCATTGACCCACATCCAGGGCGTTCTCCCACCCCACTGCAACTCAGCCTGCCCTCCTCTTCCTTACCTTCTTTTGCCAGTTCCTCTTTTTCTTCTCCTTCTGCCTTTATGAGCCAGTAGCCCTGTTTCCGTTCTTATTTTTGCATGATCTATTTACAATACAGTGAGATACATTACTGGATGAGTTAGTGCATTCTTAATTGTTGGCATCACTTGGTTACACATTCATTAACTATGCTGCCATCAGGTTTTACACTGTAGAAGCACATTTTACATCTCCCAAAATTCACATTTCAGTTGCTTAGTCAGTATTGTTTGCAAATCTCTGAGCCACTGAAACATTTAACATGGTGATCCATGACAAGCATGGGGAGCTGATATCATGTTCATCCCTTCCTAGATACAGTGCCTTGCGAAAGTATTCGGCCCCCTTGAACTTTGCGACCTTTTGCCACATTTCAGGCTTCAAACATAAAGATATAAAACTGTAATTTTTTGGGAAGAATCAACAACAAGTGGGACACAATCATGAAGTGGAACGAAATTTATTGGATATGTCAAACTTTTTTAACAAATAAAAAACTGAAAAATTGGGCGTGCAAAATTATTCAGCCCCCTTAAGTTAATACTTTGTAGCGCCACCTTTTGCTGCGATTACAGCTGTAAGTCACTTGGGGTATGTCTCTATCAGTTTTGCACATCGAGAGACGGAAATTTTTGCCCATTCCTCCTTGCAAAACAGCTCGAGCTCAGTGAGGTTGGATAGAGAGCGTTTGTGAACAGCAGTTTTCAGTTCTTTCCACAGATTCTCGATTAGATTCAGGTCTGGACTTTGACTTGGCCATTCTAACACCTGGATATGTTTATTTGTGAACCATTCCATTGTAGATTTTGCTTTATGTTTTGGATCATTGTCTTGTTGGAAGACAAATCTCCGTCCCAGTCTCAGGTCTGTTGCAGACTCCATCAGGTTTCCTTCCAAAATGGTCCTGTATTTGGCTCCATCCATCTTCCCATCAATTTTAACCATCTTCCCTGCCCCTGCTGAAGAAAAGCAGGCCCAAACCATGATGCTGCCACCACCATGTTTGACAGTGGGGATGGTGTGTTCAGGGTGATCAGCTGTGTTTCTTTTACGCCAAACATAACGTTTTGCATTGTTGCCAAAAAGTTCGATTTTGGTTTCATCTGACCAGAGCACCTTCTTCCACATGTTTGGTGTGTCTCCCAGGTGGCTTGTGGCAAACTTTAAACGACACTTTTTATGGATATCTTTAAGAAATGGCTTTCTTCTTGCCACTCTTCCATAAAGGCCAGATTTGTGCAGTATACGACTGATTGTTGTCCTATGGACAGAGTCTCCCACCTCAGCTGTAGATCTCTGCAGTTCATCCAGAGTGATCATGGGCCTCTTGGCTGCATCTCTGATCAGTCTTCTCCTTGTATGAGCTGAAAGTTTAGAGGGACGGCCAGGTCTTGGTAGATTTGCAGTGGTCTGATACTCCTTCCATTTCAATATTATCGCTTGCACAGTGCTCCTTGGGATGTTTAAAGCTTGGGAAATCTTTTTGTATCCAAATCCGGCTTTAAACTTCTCCACAACAGTATCTCGGACCTGCCTGGTGTGTTCCTTGTTCTTCATGATGCTCTCTGCGCTTTAAACGGACCTCTGAGACTATCACAGTGCAGGTGCATTTATACGGAGACTTGATTACACACAGGTGGATTCTATTTATCATCATTAGTCATTTAGGTCAACATTGGATCATTCAGAGATCCTCACTGAACTTCTGGAGAGAGTTTGCTGCACTGAAAGTAAAGGGGCTGAATAATTTTGCACGCCCAATTTTTCAGTTTTTTATTTGTTAAAAAAGTTTGAAATATCCAATAAATTTCGTTCCACTTCATGATTGTGTCCCACTTGTTGTTGATTCTTCACAAAAAAAATTACAGTTTTATATCTTTATGTTTGAAGCCTGAAATGTGGCAAAAGGTCGCAAAGTTCAAGGGGGCCGAATACTTTCGCAAGGCACTGTATCTGCATTACCAGGAAATGCTGGGACATTTGATGTGTTATCTCCCTTGGGAACGTGCTTCCTTTGCCACTCTTTGCACAGTCTTCAAATGTGGCTGTAAAAGCATGACAGTATGCCAGTATGTGATGCTAGGAATGCTCCCTTCAATATGTCCAGTCCTGGGAAAGCCTGCATGTTATTCAGCTTCTGTGAGATAAGGCAGTGAAACAGCAATGAACAACAATGCAGTGTTATTTGTGTCCTCCTGTTTCTCAGTTTCTCTTGCACCCCAAAAACAGCTAGACACGTTTCCTGTCTGTGCTGTGTTGTGTTGTGCTGTGTTCGTGACCGTCACGTCACGCCAGCAAGCAGCCATGTGTGAACGAAGTACTCTGCTGGGCTACGATTGTACTGAGCCTTTACTGTAAAAGCATCCTTTGTTTTGAGTGCGAGAACAAAACATGAATATCATTTTCAAAATGAAAGACATTAAAACTGAAAGTATAATTATCACATCAATTTCAGGGTCTTTTTTCACACATGCATCTCATCACCCTCTCCCCTATCAGCTCTAACAAAGAGACATCTTCTGCTCTCATTGCCTCTACAGCCAGCGTGGCTGTATAAGGCTGGTAGTAGCAGCAGAGGCCTCCTCTATGTTTCAGACGGCTATGGTGGGCGCAGGCACCGGCAGGGACGATGCTCTCCAGATTACTATGAGGAATCAGAGCCAGAGGAGCTGACCCGTGTCTTTGTGGCTTTGTTTGACTATGACCCCATGTCCATGTCTCCCAATCCTGATGCCGCTGATGAGGAGCTACCATTCAAGGAGGGCCAAATTATTAAGGTAAACACTAGACACGAAGACCATCCCAAAAATGTCTTGTTTTTATTTAATTTCCCTGCACTTAAATGTTATTTTAACTTTTGGATATACACTTAAATAGTGGTAACTACAACTGGTAAAGACTATGATTTTCATGGTTTTATGGTTCGATGCATCTGTTCTTTTTAGGTGTTTGGAAATAAAGACACAGATGGCTTCTACAGGGCGGAGATCCGAGACCGAGTAGGCCTGATCCCCTGTAACATGGTCTCTGAGATCCAAACAGAAGATGATGAAATGATGGAACAGCTCCTCAAACAGGGCTTTCTACCACTCAACACCCCTGTGGAGAAGTTAGGTAAGACATTTTCCCCATTGAACCTCCTCAGCTTCTTTACCTTGACCTCGACCTCATAAACTTTATGTCAAGAGGACACCTTATGTCCTGCTAAAGTGTCTTTTACTGACACATTTTTCCTTTCCTCTACTCTTCCCACTTAATTATATTTTTCTGCTTTCCTGTGAAGTGAACTGCGACCGTTTCAAAGATGGCCGCTCTATAAATCGCAGATCCAGAAAGTCCAAGAGAGGTCTGTGTCCAGTGAGATGCTCTTCTGCTCTGTTTTATCTTTGTTTTCCCAATCCTTTTCACCCTTATTCATCCATGAAGCTTTAGCTAATTTCCACTTGCTGTCCCTAAGTTTTTCCACATCTACTAACATGGACCCACAGTAGTTTTCTAACGAATACCAGATAAGATGTTGAAAAGATTTTGATTTTCAAGGATTGTCTTCTCATTTGCCCTCACATCCTTCGGTAATTTTTTTTTACATTATTGCCACTGATGACTTGTTTTTGTCTTTTATTACTTTTCCTCTCCACAGAGAGGAACAGGCGCAGTGGGCGGCAACACCCGATGTCAACAAGGAGAATGGTCGCCCTGTATGACTACGACCCCAGAGAGAGCTCCCCTAATGTTGATGTAGAGGTACTGTTTTCCTGTAGTTCCAGCTATCTATTTAGTCTTAACCATTCTGTCACCACCATCATGTTACCAAATGCATAAAAGCAGTCAAAGCACAAATCATTTTGAGGTGCACAGGCAGAGAGAAGGATATTCTATTTATCCTTTTTAGTGCAGAATCTAAAGAAATAGTTTGACATTTTGCACATACTCTCTTGCTAAAATAGATGAGAAGACTGATAGTACTCTTGTGTTTCCATTAAATATGGAGGAACAGCCAGTAGCTAATGTATCTTAGCACAAAAACTGAAGGTTGGTATTACTTTATCTAACTTTATTTGACAATATAATCTCAGACTTAATCTGAGTTTGATTCAGGGCAGTATGTAAAGAGGTGAGGTTAATTGAGGATTTACAGTTAGCACTATGTTAGCTAGACGACTAAAAGTACTTTCCCGTGCTGTTTTGTTGGCCCTTCCCCCTGGTTTCACTTATTCTCACCTTTCTATTGGCACTGCCACCGACACAGTATGACAACAGACTGAATGAGGAGGTGAGTGAGGGTGAAGAGGGTACACTGCCGTCTGCTCTGTGTGTGTTTCCTCCCCCACCCCCATTTGTTGAAATGAAAAGGAGGAGTTGGGCTTTGGATGATGGGCCACAACCTTTTGTCCCTGGTGGTCACAAATACAGCCCCTCATACACTGCCTGAGCCAGCATCCCCCCTCCTCGGTTTGGTCTTCTTTGTCAACCTGTCTCCCACATACTGTACTTGTTGTGTTTGGTTTGTGTGTTCTCGAGAATCCCACAGGAGAGACGTGCCCAGTGTGTTCCTGTCTTCAAAGTTCTACATTTGATGCATTTACAGTTGCAACAGTCCTGCTGCTGAAACTGAATTGACATTTGTTTAAGATGCATCACATTGATTTGGAGATAAAAGTACAGCATTTCAAACTCATCAAACCCCAGTAGATTTGATGTTTGGGAAAGCCTTTAAAGTGCTATAAACAAGAACAAAAATGCAACAGGCCAAAATGATCTCAAGGCTCTTTCTTCTTCGGCAGGCTGAACTGACTTTCTGTGCTGGGGATGTCATCACAGTTTTTGGAGAAATAGATGAAGATGGCTTTTACTATGTAAGTACAGACCATTTCTATTTCCAATGGTACTGCTGTACATTCACTTATTTACAGTATAGCCTCACAGTTGTCCTCAGCAGTTTTCCCATGTAGTTATTTCGGGGTACTTGCGAGTTTAAATGGCTTGTTCATTCTGTGTATAGACAATGGTACTGCGGGTGGCTTACAGCTGGAGGACTTTGAAGACTTGTATGGAAATGAAATTAACCCAGCTGAATTATCTATATAAAAGCCGTGGTGGTGACCTCTGCTATTCACCCTCAGCAGTCTACACTGCTTCACTTTTGAATTATGGGTAAAGTTTGGATTGATTTGAAAACTTGATACAGCTGTTGTTTGCCCCTCTGACCATATTCGTTGCCACAGTAATGGCAGGTGAAGCTTAGACGATACCAAACAGAAAAAGCTCAGCTTCTCAGGAAAAAAGTAGAAGCATTTAAAACTAATGCCAATTACATAACTAATATTCTTGAGCTATCCAGGTCCTGTTTTGGAGCATAAAAAATATAACTAAAGGACTTTAAACTTTAAATTGAGAATTTATAAAAAAAAAAACAACTTCCTCAAATCATTCCACTGCAAGAAGTTTTTTGATTACTAATAGAAACAATTGCTATTGAGCAGTGCTTTTGAAAGGCAAGTTCCTGTTTTATTTGAATTATTCACACAGACAAAAAAAAAAGCATAGTTACATATGTGCCAACAAAGGCAAGGAAAAAGACTACTAGCAAGTAAACACTGACGTTTAAACACTTTAGAGCTCTAATCCTTTTTCAGCTCCTAGAGGGCCTATTGAGATTCAAAACAAAGATTTGCCTGCTTTTACCACTCTCAGTCTTAAAAAGCCAAACCAATGTTAACCATGGCTTTTGCTTTTTACTTTGTCCCACTCTGTGCAAACACATGCAACCTTTTCAATCTTTGTTACTTATCAAATCAAAATGTATTTGTATAGCACTTTAAAAATGTCTGGTTGACCAAAGTACTTTACACAGCAATGCAAATCCAGAGTAAAAACTATCAAAACAGAAATAAAACACAGGAACATAAAAACACCAAGTACACAAAATCAACAGATAAGAGGAAGCATCAGACAATACTATGTATTAAAATCCAAAGTGAATAAATATGTTTTAACCAATGATTTAAAAGTTGTCAAGCCTGTAGAGGATCTAACATTAAAAGGTAAATCATTCCACAGTTTAGGAGCTGCAACAATAAAAGCACGATCACCCCAACGTTTGTATCTGGCCCTGGGCACCTCTAACAAAAACAGGCTTGAGGATCTGAGTAATCTAGTTGTTTCGTGCCACCTCACCAACTCAGCGAGGTAAGGCGGTGCCAAACCATTAAGAGCCTTAAAAACAAAAACAAACAGCTTAAAATAAATTCTAAAACGAACTGGAAGCCAGTAAGGAGAGGCCAGTACCGGAGTTATATGGTCGAATTTCCTAGTACCTGTTAAAAGATGAGCAGCAGCATTTTGGAACATTTGAAAACGAGAGATACAACTGATTAACACCAAGGTATAATGCGTTACAATAGTCAAGTCTAGAAGTTATAAAAGCATGAATTGCAATCTCAAAGTCATTAAAAGAAAAATGACTTGACTTTACTTAGCAACCTCAGGTGAAAGAAACTAGATTTTATGACCGAGTTGATCTGCTTGTCGAATCTTAGGTCACAGTTAAAGGCTAAGAACCATTATAAAGCCTCATCCGGTTCTTTCAAACCAGGAACTCCGAGGGACGACTCAGACCACTTGAGTATATAAAAAATATAACCGTGCTGGTTTATTCAAAGAGTCACAGGCAAGCATTAACACTCCAAGTCCAGAGATCTTCCAACCCCGTGAAGAGAGGCCAGTACCGGAGTTATATGGTCGAATTTCCTAGTACCTGTTAAAAGACGAGCAGCAGCATTTTGGACCATTTGAAGACGAGAGAGAGACATCTGATTAACACCAAGGTATAATGCATTACAATAGTCAAGTCTAGAAGTTATAAAAGAATGAATTGCAATCTCAAAATCACTAAAAGAAAGAAATGACTTGACTTTACTTAGCAACCTCAGGTGAAAGAAACTAGATTTTACGACTGAGTTGATCCTCTTGTCGAATCTTAGGTCACAGTCAAACGTTACCCCTAGGTTTTTTAGTCGTCTTCAAATGATGAGCCAGGGGGCCTAAGTTGTGATTAAAAGCAGCAAATTTCGCCAGATCACCAAATAAAACACACTCAGTCTTATCCTCATTTAATTTTAAAAGGTCCTGAGCCAGCCAGGCTTTCAGGTCAGTCAAACAGTGGCTGTAGAGATGTCCCTCCTGCTGCTTTTAATGGTAAGTATATCTGGATGTCATCCGCATAAAAATGAAAAGACAATCCACATCTCCTTAGAAGTGATCCCAGCAGAAGTATGTAGAGGGAAAAGAGAGTTGGGCCGAGTACAGACCCCTGGGGGACACCACAGGAGAGGATAGTTGAGGAGGAGGAACAGTTACCAATATAACACCAATCTGATCTCCTCCAATATACCAATATCCAATACCACCTTCTGATAGTCCGACAAGCAGTCCCTGAAATGGCGAAGAGAAACAAAGTTTGTCCTTCTTCCATTTACATTCAGCTTTATGACATCTTTGTCTATGTTCCCGAGTTAAGTCATTTAGCCAAGGTTCCACCTTCGGCTTAGCCCACCTTCGGCTTAGCCGGTCTACATCGGAGGGGAGCTATAGAGTCCAATATATCCTGACAGGTGGAGGTTAATAGAGTTAATACTTCCTCAGGATCCATGTAGGAGGACACATCACCCATCAGATACAAACCAGATTTTTTGAAGCAAGTAGAAAACTCTCCTGCTGTTGAAGAGGTGATTGAGTGTCTGATACTAGCAGGAATAGAGGGTTTATCGAACTGTGGAGGCACATTAACATTAAATAACAGAGGGAAATGATCGGAGAATCGAGAGTTGCATACTTCAGTAATAACAGGCAGCCCGTGAGAAATCACAAGATCCAGTGTATGTCCGAGCTCATGTGTAGGGCTATGCACCAACTGGGTGAGGTTAAAAGAGTCAATAGTACTTAAAAAAAATCCTTAGACAAAGGGTCAGCCGGACAACATGCATGAATATTAAAATTACCAAGGATTAAAAGCCTGTCAAACTTTGGCAAGATAAAACCCAGGAGATCAGAGAACTTCTGAATAAAGTCCTTATTAAATTTAGGAAGACAATAAACCACTGTGCACAGCAGCGGTTGAAAAAGTTCTATCACAAACAGCTGCAGTTCAAAACTTGAATAAGTGTCCACTGTCAGCTGCCGACACT